AGTTTCTTTCATGAGGCCAGGTGGGTTGGGAACAGCAAAGTTTATTTCTCACCGAGCTGCCTGCCGATGGGCAAGACAGAACAGTGCCTGGTTAGCCTCCAGCTCAGGGCCTAGAGCCCTTCTATACTATACAGTAAGGAGGAATGGGCTTGGCCCCTCGGGGGTGGAAGAATACGTGTTGAGGTCTTCTTCGTCCATCAGAGTCCTGAGATGATCATTTTCGGTGGTCATCATTCGGACTTCACGGACTCCTTCATGGTCACCACTGTCCTTGGTGCGCTGGCTTCTGACAAAGGCACATTCTTTCCTGTGTGTGCAGAACTTTACAGGGTGGGCCCCGGGGGCAGACATCGAGGAGTGGCGCCGCACAGTGGACTGGGTGACGCCTTACCCAAATCAAACCAGTTACCATGGAGCCAATCCTTACAGGAGGCCACTCCGTGTATTGCCAAGTGGAACTGCTCTCCCTAAGGGTTCTCGTGGCTGGGACCGGTTCAAAAGTCGATCGATCATCAGGTTCTTCTGAGACACCTCTGGGTGGGTTCAAACGGAAGTGCCTGTGGAGAGGAGCCGTTTGCTTCACTGGACGCCCCCACTCGCAGATGCTAATGCTTAGATTATTTAAAACAAAACCAAAAGCATTGTCATCGAGCCCATTTCAACTCATAGCGACCCTTTGTGGGGTTCCCAAGACTGTACATCTTTACGGGCGCAGGCAGCCTCATGTTTCTCCCACAGGGAGATTGGTGGGCTTGAAATGCCAACTTTATGGTTAACAGCCCAACGCATACCCAGCAGGACGTTAGGGCATCCATGGTTGAGGGCATCCATGGTTGTTCTTCGGTGCATAATGACCCCATTCAATCAACAGAATGAAACACCGCCTGGTCCTGCCCCATGCTCACATTTGTTATGTTTGAGTCGTTGTTGCAGCTGTTAGGGACAGGATGGAACGATTACCCTTACAATGGAAGGAGGTCAAACACAAGGCTGCAATAACAAGAGGCTTTATTATGCTAGCTTAAGCCAGGGCTCAAGTCCTCAGGTACTTAACCACACAGCACCATCTTGGACAAGAGCCCCGAACAAAGGGAATACCGAGGTTTATATTTACAGGGTATACGTAACTGGGGCGTTCCCAACCCATCCCTCCCGCCGATCCGCTGATTGGCTCATTTGAGGTAGGTTGGCAGTCTGGTCCTTTGTGTAGTTCCCGTGCTGGCCGTGTTGTCCTCCCATTGGCGGTTGGGCCCCTCGTGCCGCTCCGGGTTGGCTAGCCTCAGTTTCCAGGTATGTCCTACTTTGTTAGGAACTATGAAACCAAGGCCTGCCTGAGGTCGCGGAGCCAGTCCTGGAGGCAATCTGGCTTTGCAGAGCCACTGTGTCCATCCATCTTTCAGGGGAAATCCTGCCCCTAACACATCTTCACGGGTCTGGTAGGCTCAATTGTACAGCGATATTAAATGAAGATTATAGTCATGTCAGAGAGCATAAGAGATTGAAATAATGGAGTCCGACACATTTCATGGTAGTAAGGCTCACCTCAGCCTCACTTGGTGGTCCACGTGGAGAGAGAGCAATATTTAATGCTAACCAAGGCTTTTATATTCTCTGGGGACGTGCAATGCCCCTAATTACAGGTGAAGACATACGTCACAGGAAAGGGTTGTGCTATAGGTAATACAGTAATGGGAGGGGGGTGATATAGGGGTATACACGCAACAGGAAGAGGAGGGATTGGGGGTATACATGTCGCAAGATGGGTAGATCCCAGATTCAGGATGGCAGCCTAACTTTGGATGTCACTGAGCCGGTTTGATATGTTGCCCGCATCTCCATAGAAACCATTATCAGTAGGGTGTGAACTCCACCTACAGGATCCAAGTTAATGACTGCAAGCCTTCAGGGAGAAGTAGCCCACGGTCCTAAGCAGCAGGGAGCAGGGCCTACAGTAGTCAGGTGACTGACTGTCTTGGGGAGGATGTCTCTAAGCAGCTGACCTCCCCGCATAAGCTAGCAAAAAACCCCTAATATCTGGCATGTCTTTGGGGGAGACAAAGCTGGGGAAAAGTCTCTTTATAATCCCACACATCTTGGGAAGCGAAGGGCCTTCCTCTCTTTCGCTGCTACTCCACTTCACCAAGCACGATGTCCTTCTCCAGGGGTTGATCTCTCCTGACAACATGTCTGAAGTCCCTGAGATGAAGTCTCACTTCTAAGCATTTGGGCAGTGGTATTTCTTCCAAGACAGATGTTTGTGCCGTGGGCTGTCCATAGTACTTTCTATCTTCTCTGCCAATGCCGTCATTCAAAGGCATCGATTCTTCTTCAGTCTTCCTGATTCAGTGTCCAACTTTCGGATGTTGGACGAAGAAGGAAGAAGCTGTCCACTTCAGAGGAATTAGCCACTGAAAACCCTGTGGACAGCAACGCAGCCTTAACTCCTGCAAATGGAGCATGTGCTGTGTTCCAAGTCTCTCCCCAAGGTCCTAGTATATAACAAGCCTAGTGATTGTGTTAGGTAGACTAGCGTAGGGCTGGGGAATGTCCGTTAACGCACGCCCAGAGGGAACAAAGGAGTGGCACACTGCACATGCCCAGAGGCTCAGGTTTCCCACCAGTAGGCATCGGTGGGCATGAACCTGAATTGGCTCACCTAGTCCAGATGAATGCAATTCAGCCAATGGGGCCGATCGGGGTCGTCCACCATGCCTCCCCGTGGAATCCTTGAAAAGGCAGGAGCCCGGAGTCGAGTGGCAGAACTTGGCAGAACTTTGGCGCAGAACTTTGGGAGAACTTTGGAGGAACTTTGGGACACTTTTGCGTGACGCCGAGCAGTTTCCCAACAAGCTGTACGCTCAGGAGGAGCCCCTCAGGTGCCGTGTAAACCTGAAACTTCTTCTAACTCTCATAAAACTCACTTGGATCACGAACCAGGCTTCGGCGTGAATTCTTTCTCACGCGCGGGCCAAGGACCGAGGTATATCTAGCTCCAGAGAGATCTAACAATTGTACTATCTTCATTGGAGCCCTGGTGGCATAGTGGTTATGCGTTGGGCTGGTAATGGCAAGATCCACAATTTGAAACCCCGAACTGCTCCTTGGGAGAAAGACAGGCCTTTCCACTCCAGTTAAAGTCTGGGAAACCTTCAGGGGCAGTTCTACCGTTGTTATGAGTCTGCGTCGTGGACTGGATAGCAGGGAGGGTTTATGATTATTACCATTATTGTTATCCTCATTGTATAGATGGGGAGGAATGCCTGGGTGGTGCAAACAGTTAAGCTCTCAATTACAAGCCCAAAGGTTGGCAGTTCAAAACCACCACACACACCCGCGCCCTAGAGGCACCTCAGTAAAAAGGTTTTCAAAAGCCCTCTCACTGCCATCAAGTCAATTCCAGAACTACCCTTGTGGATTTCTGAGACTGTAACTCCTTGCGGAAGTAGAAAGCCTCTTTTTTCTTCCAAGGAGCAGCTGGTGGTCTCAAACGGTTGACTTTGCAGTTAGCAGCCCAAGGTGTGACCCGCTATGACAGCAGGGCTCCTATGACAACTCAGAGCAACCCTCTATTGGGTTGGATGGCACCTATGTGTTGGATGTGACAGCAGTGATATTTCGAACCGACTGTGTGCCATTTTACTTACTGTGTCACACACACACACAGTCAGTAAAATAAAAACAAATACTTGTCAATTCCGACACGCTGTCTAAAGCCCATACAGGGTGGCTCTGTGAGTCGCATCAAGTCTGTGGCAGTGAGTTTTGGGTTACTGTGTGTCAGGCACAAGTCTAGGCTGGGAGGAAAGTGAGGGGTAACTCTGAGAACGTAGCACGTGAGCTAAAGGATGAAAGTGAACCCCAGATCCCAAACATTATCCGGACCATCCTGCTTCTGCCCCCTGTAAAGGCGGAACTGAGGGACAGGGAGGAAGACGGACATAACTGACGGGCCAAGGGAGAGCAGAAGCAGAAAGAGCTTTATTAGGGACTAGGGGTGCTCCCGGACGAGGTTCCGTGACCTAGGTCAACAGGTCAGGGAAGTCGTGCTCAGCAGCTGGG